CCGAACCGGCACTAAAGGTCCTTACAAATCGGAAATATAGCCCCCGCGGTTCGCGCCCCGGCACAACGACCACGAGGCTAGCACGTTCGCGTTCAGCATCGTCGACATAGAGGATTCCGATCAGAACGAGTAGGACATGGGACGTGTGCACGCCTGTTGTCCAATGTGAGTCGTGCTCCACGTCTTATTCTTCCTCTCCCGCAACTTCACTTCTCAGGGTAACAACCGTTGAGCTTTCTAAATATGGTGAAAACATGACGTGGAACACAAATGCCGCCATGCCCAACAAACGTTTAGACCAGGTTAAAAAAGTGTCACATGCTTTTATTTAGTTCAAATATGTCAAAAATGTAATGAATTTGATCAATCTGGTCCAGTTCAAATGAAAATTGTCCTTGCCTGAAATTTGCCCAGTTTGTTCACAGACCTTTTGAAATGTGTTCGAATCGTTTGATATCTAGAGTTGGATGGCCGGCTCTTGTCTCACTACCTACATACGCGTCCGCGAACCAATATTGTGGCTATTTTAGTCCGCATTGCAGATGCTCTAAGATCAAGATAATAAACTCTCCAGCGCATCTCGTAGAACATGTTCTTTCCAAACGTGCAGGTTTTGGAAAGTAACAACATATATCTCGAATATCCGTTCTGAGCCTAGACTCATCTCCGTCTGGTCAAGAAAAAATTCATAGAAAATACAAAAAATCAAATTCAATTTTTTTGCATGATAGATAATTTGATGCGTGAGGCGCGCTTAATATTTCAAATCATTTGGACATATGAATAGCTCTAAGTAAAAAAGACAAATTGGGTTCAGAATAGTACACTTTTTTACTGACCCTAAATTTGTTTGTTTTTTTTGGTCCCGAAAGTTCGTAACTTCGTATGTTATGGGGTCCTATTTGCAAGCAAAAAAACACGAATATGCAACAAAAAAAAAAGACTGAATCGTCGACGTGCAGGTTAGTTTCTCTTGGTCCTACCAGTAGGCATCCCTGTTGGATCTGGGCGAGACCACCGTGCACTCGATGATGTGTGCTACACGCTGCGACCACAGGCCAACCCACCCACCGACCAAGTGCTCCGCGTCGCTCAAAGGCAGCAGGATCCGGCGGCCCTGGAGCGCGCACGCTCGCCGCCTCGCGTCCAAGGAGAAGGTGCCGCCGTTTGTGTATCGACTAAGGACAGGAGCACACGTGGTTGAGCCGTCCGGACGCAGGACGCGGGACGTGACGCCGTCCGGCTAGAACGCCGGCGCGGCCCGCGGCAGAGCATCTCGAAGCGGCCGCTGTGCTGGCCTCCCAGCCGTTGTCGAGGGCGTAGACGCTGCTGCCGACAGCCCAGACCGCGCCGTAGCTCTTGGGCGCCTAGGAAGGACGGGGGCATGGCATGTGAGTGGTGAGACCCAGCGTGTCGGTGCCCAAGCCGAGAACGAAGTCGGCCTTGGATGTCCGGTAGAAATTGAAGACCGCCAGGCCCCGCGGCAGGAGCCACGCCCGCATCAACCACTCATGCTGGCCAAGTGGCCATGTAGGTGCCTGACTGCCTGTACCTTCGCATTGAATGGATTAGGAGAGATCGTGCACCAAGCAGGCAGTGCTCCAGTCCCCAGCATCACACTCCTCGCAGACCTGCTAGTGCTCGCCCGATGGCTCGCGTCCTGCGCACCTCCCTCGTCGCGCCCTCGCCGGCCGGCGCCGCGCTCCACGAGCGCTCTCTGCCGCTCACCTACCTGGACGCGCTGTGGCTCCACGCCACGCCCGTCGAGCGCGTCTTCTTCTACCCCGACGCCACCAGCGACGTCCTCTCCAACCTCACGGACTCCCTGTCCAATGCGCTCGCCGCATTTTACCCTCTTGCCGGCCGCCTCCGCCTCACCCCCGGCGCGCACAACCGCTACGAGCTCCACTACCAGCCGGGCGACGGCGTCACCTTCACCGTCGCCGAGTACCACCACCTCGGCTTCGGCGAGCTTGCCACGGACGACCCTACGGAGGTTGCCAAGATCGTGCCGCTTGTGCCGCCGCTGCCCGAAGGCGGCGCCGTGCTCGCCGTGCAGGCCACCGTGCTGCGCGGCGGCCTCGCTATCGGCGTGACCGTTCACCACGCCGCTTGCGACGGGGTGTCCTCGTCGTACTTCCTCCGCACCTGGGCCTGGGCGGCGGCGGCCTGCAGCGGTGCGAGCGCGCCTCAGCCGCCCTTGGTCGACCGCTCCATCATCCGCCCACGAGACGACCTGTACGACGCTTTCACAGCGCCCAGGCTGTCCAGCAACGACGACGACGACGGTGGGAAACCCCCCGATTTGCCCGTCGTCCAGCAGCTCCTCGCCACGTTCACGCTGTCCAAGGAGCACCTGCAGAGCATCAAAGAAGCCGTCGCCGGCGAGGCGGAACGCCGTGGCGTGCCGCCGCCTCGCGCCACATCGATCATCGCGGCGTTCGGCTTCATCTGGCAGTGCTACGTCCGAGCTAAACCAAGCACCGATGGCCGTGCTACTTCCTCTTACCCGCGGACCACCGGACGAGGCTGGAGCCGCCCGTCCCCGACGAGTACCTCGGGAACTGCCTCGGTCCGTGCATCGCGTCAGTGCCCAGGAGGGATGTCGCTGCCGCCGGCGCGGACGGTCTGCTCACCGCGTGCGCGGCGATCGCCACGGCCATCGACGGAGTGGTGCGCGGCGGGCCTGCCTACTGAGACGGGTGGATGGAGCGCATCATCGAGGCGTACAGCGCGGGCGGCTTGCCGCTAACGGTCGCGGGGTCGCCGAGGCTCCGCGTGTACGACACGGACTTTGGGTTCGGGCGGCCGGCAAAGGTGGACGTCGTGTCGGTGGCGAGGACCGGCGCGATGTCCGTGCAGAGGCGCGCGGCGGCGGCGGCGGGGTGGAGGTGGGCATCTCTTTGCCGGCGGGTGCCATGGAGCGTTTCAACGAGTGCTTTGCCGATGCCATCGCGTGCCTTTCGTCGTAGGAGTATGTGTAATAACGGCATTGTCCTTTTAAGTGCATGCGCGATAAGATGTTTGGTTATGTTCTGTGTAATAACTGCTGCTTACAAAGTGAATATAAGTGATGTTTCTGTGATGGCGTGATTTCACAGCGAAACGCGTTTGTGCGTCTACAAGTTTCCTTACGATGTACGCTTCTTTTCATCGATGCTGCTCCTGTAAGGTCTTAACACGATGACTTCTCAACTATCTACTACAACAAAATTTGTCTGGCCCGATGAGGAAGGGTGATGACAGTTATGCGACTTCGGCTCGCTTCAGTATTTGTAGTCGTTGCTAGATGGTTTACGGATCTGAATGTAAATTTCGTTAGTTCAAGTGCTCTTTGTGCCGCCTTTTACAAATGATGAATAGATCAGAATTTTCTCGAAAAAATGAATGGTTTGAAGAAAAAAATGTTAGGGAAAGGGAAAAGAAGAATGGTTGCTGGATCTTAATCTAATGACGCAAAAAAAACAATTTAATAGGCGACTTAAGAATAGCGAGTCATTCTACATGGTAATATGAATGTACACTTAAGGCATCTCGAAAGCGGACCTTCAAACCTCCGCAAGCATCCAGATCGCACTGTCCGGACACAATTTGTCATCCAAAGCAATCCGGTATTGGTTTGCCGACACGTCCTGACGCTTGTTTTTTCATAAACCGGTACCAAACAATAAGGAGTTTTGCGAAAGTCCGGACATCTGTATAATGAATAAAAAGTCATCGTATACCCTCTACTCTCCGCCTGGATGGCGGAAGACCGCTGATGCGGTTTGATGAAAGGACTAGCATTGCTTAGCGTTTGGCGGAACCCGCTAATCACTTTGCTTCATAATTTTCTTCCTTCGTTTTCTCTTTCCAAATGCTCATTTGGCATAAACAAGCAGGCTGGCTATTAGTTTATCTGGCGGAACGTAGTTTAAATGCTTAAGCAAGTTACTAGTTCATGCTAATTACTTGCGTAATTTGGCGGAAGCTAGTTTAAATGCTGAAGCATTTGGCGGAAGCTATGCTAGCACATGGATTAGTAGCCCTCCACCCAACAATAAGCTAGTTGTTATTTTCTAACAGAATCATGTGGTTATTTTGACATGTTTGACAAAAGATTATTTAGTTGAGCACGGACTAAGTATAACATAGGCGAATGTTTGGAGACAAGGTTGGTGCCCGACTCCCACATCACTATCTCCGGACTGGTCTCCACTGGTCCTGGACAGATACGATTGCCGGTTTGGGGTTCAGCGTTGAAGACACCCTAACAAAAGTCTAAAATTTACCTCGCAAAAAAAATACAAGTCCAAATTTTTATGACCAAAATGCGTCCAAGTCTCCTCCGAGCGCCATGGCTGCATCGTTGTACGCCAGGGCATCTCCAACATCGACCCTCAAACCGCCCTGCATATGTCTTGACTGCGCGGTCCCGACGTATTTTGACATCCAACGCGGTCCTGTATCGAACAGCCAAGCGGTTCGGACAAACTTTCTCCCGCGAAGTAGAGAAAAACTAGGGGACTTTGCGGGCGTCTGGACCGCTGCCACATCCGCTTCTGACTACCGTGACCCACCCAAAACCATCATCCCTCGCTCGCGTGTTTTCTCACCCGGCGCAAGCTACCCGCATTCATGCCGTTGTGAGCGACCTCTTCGCATTTGACGCCGGCCTAGAGCGGATGCGACCTCTCATGGTGCCGACATTGAAGCATCGCGTCGACCGAGAGAGCGCTGCCCGCTACATCCCAGCTGAACACGCCTCCCTTGTTTGCCCGGCTAAACACGCCTCCTCGCCTGCATCCATTAAAGCCGCGCGTGTGCTAAGAAACCTACTTCGTCCACACGTCCGTTCTCGAACCAGCCGACATTAAACAAAACGTCGGTTGGCTCCTTGCGTCAACTGGCTATTTAAATGAGGCCACACGACGGGCAAGAAACGCACCATACCTCCGCTCCCCATCTTCTTCTTGTGCCATGGCATCTAGCGAGCAGGAAGAGAGGTTCTCTGGCATAAAAGCCGGTTGGGTGGCCCGTCTAGCCCGTCTAGCCCGTAGGATGTGAGCTAGGCAACTCGCTGCTCAACCTCCCTTGCCCCTCGAGGCCGTCGGTAACATGGACGAGGCTGCAGGCTGGCGCAAGGAGGAGCAAGTGACCGCTCCAAGCCGACACGTGGTTCAGTAAGTTACCGCTCCAAGCCAGCTCGCGGAGGAGCATGGCAGCGTGGGCAAAGTTGCTCCCATGGATGACACAGTGTCGTACTTGTAACACCCACGATGCGGCTATATCTTCCATGTGTCGGAGCACGACTTAGAGGCATAACCGCATTGTAGGCATGTCGCAAGAGGGGTAATATTTACACATCCCATGTACTGAATAAGAAAGAGGTACAGAGTTGGCTTACAATCGCCACTTCATACAATACGTAAAAATAGCATTACATCAACCAGATACATACAAGGTCTGACTACGGAACCAAAATAAAAGGAGACTACTCCTAATGCAAAAGATCCCCGATTGTCCCAACTGGGCTCCACTATTGATCAACTGGAGACGAAACTACACAACGAATAAGATCTTCATCGAGCTCCTCCTTGAGCTCGGTTGCATCACCTGCACGGTATCATCGGCACCTTCAAACTGGTTTTGGAAGTATCTGTGAGTTACGGGGACTCAACAATCTCACACCCTCGTGATCAAGACTATTTAAGCTTATGGGTAGGGAAAAGGTATGAGGTGGAGCTGCAGCAAGCACTAGCATATATGGTGGCTAACTTACGCAAATGAGAGCGAGAAGAGAAGGCAAAGGCACGGTCGAGAATCTATGATCAAGAAGTGATCCTGAAACTACTTACGTTCAAGCATAACTCCAACACCGTGTTCACTTCCCGGACTCCGCGGGAAAGAGACCATCACGGCTACACACGCGGTTGATCCATTTTAATTAAGTTAAGTTTCAGGTTTTCTACAACCGTACATTAACAAATTTCCATCTGCCCATAACCATGGGCACGGCTTTCGAAAGTTCAAAACCCTGCAGGGGTGTCCCAACTTAGCCCATCACAAGCTCTCACGGTCAACGAAGGATATTCCTTCTCCCAGGAAGACCCGATCATGCTCGGAATCCCGGTTACAAGACATTTCGACAATGGTAAAACAAGACCAGCAAAACCGCCCGATGCGCCGACATCCTGATAGGAGCTGCACATATCTCGTTCTCAGGGCAACACCGGATGAACACTACATACAGCTAAAACCAGCCCTCAAGTTTCCCCGAGGTGGCGCCGCAAGTGGCTCTGTTTCAGACCAACACTTAGAGAAGCACTGGCCCGGGGGGAGGGGTTAAAATAAAGATGACCCTTGAGTCTGCAGAACCCAAGGGAAGGTGATAGGTTGTTAGTGCAAATGGTAAAACCAAGGTTGAGCCTTGCTGGAGGAGTTTTATTCAAGGCGAACTGTCAAGGGGGTTCCCATGTTGGGAATCGTAGCAGAAATTTAAAATTTTCTACGCATCACCAAGATCAATCTATGGAGTAATCTAGAAACAAGGGGAAGGGGAGTGCATCTACATACCCTTGTAGATCGCTAAGCGGAAGCGTTGCAAGAACGCGGATGAAGGAGTCGTACTCGCAGCGATTCAGATCGTGGTTGATTCCGATCTAAGCGCCGAACAACGGCGCCTCCGTGTTCAACACACGTGCAGCCCGGTGACGTCTCTCACACCTTGATCCAGCAAGGGGAGAAGGAGAGGTTGGGGAAGACTCCGTCCAGCAGCAGCACGACGGCGTGGTGGTGAAGGAGGAGCGTGGCAATCCTGCAGGGCTTCGCCAAGCACCGCGGGAGAGGAGGAGGACTTGGGAGAGGGGGAGGGCTGCGCCAGAACTTGGGTGCGGCTGCCCTCCCACCCCCCACATATATATAGGGGCAAGGGAGAGGGGGGCGGCCCCCTCAGATCCAATCTGAGGAGGGGTGGCGGCCAGGGGGATTGCCTTGCCCCCTAAGGCAAGGGGGCGCCCCCTTTTAGGGTTCCCCCAAACCCTAGGCGCATGGGCCCTAGGGGGGAGGCACCCAGCCCACTAAGGGGCTGGTCCCTCTCCACACACAGCCCATAGGGCCCTCCGGGGCAGGTGGACCCTCCCGGTGGACCCCCGGAACCCCTTCGGTGGTCCCGGTACAATACCGGTAACCCCCTGAATTATTCCGGTGACCGTATGATGACTTCCCATATATAAATCTTTACCTCCGGACCATTCCGGAACTCCTCATGACGTCCGGGATCTCATCCGGGACTCCGAACAACATTCGGTAACCACGTACATCTATTCCCTATAACCCTAGCGTCATCGAACCTTAAGTGTGTAGACCCTACAGGCTCGGGAGTTATGCAGACATGGCCGAGACAACTCTCCGGTCAATAACCAACAGCGGGATCTGGATACCCATGTTGGTTCCCACATGCTCCATGATGATCTCATCGGATCAACCACAATGTCAAGGATTCAATCAATCCCGTATACAATTCCCTTTGTCTATCGGTACGATACTTGCCCGAGACTCGATCGTCGGTATCCCGATACCTTGTTCAATCTCGTTACCAGCAAGTCTCTTTACTCGTTCTGTAACACATCATCCCGTGATCAACTCCTTGGTCACATTGTGCACATTATGATGATGTCCTACCGAGTGGGCCCAGAGATACCTCTCCGTTACACGGAGTGACAAATCCCAGTCTCGATTCGTGCCAACCCAACAGACACTTTCGGAGATACC